CTTCTGAGGGTTGAGACCCATTTGCCTTCATGTGGGAAAGCAGACTATGGACTTTCACCATATTACCTCAAGGATATCCCCACCTTGTTTCATAAAATGGTAATAAACCTGGTCCCAACCCTCCACTGGTAAAAATGTTTACATAATGATCATATCTGATTTTCTTTCAGTGCACATCAAGGCTACCCCCATGCTTTTGACTGACTTGCAAAGGAGAAAATAATAGCTGTAAATCCTGAAAAAGTACAGGGGCCTGGCTTATTGGTGTTGTCTGGTCAAGTAAAACAGAGGTTATAACTCAAGTTGTTATAGATGAAGCTCAAATATATCTACCTCCCAACATAGTAAGCAAATACAAGAATTTGTAGGGCTACTGGGCCATTGGAGGGCTTCCATTCCCTCATCTGGCTCAGTTATAATGATCCCTATGTAATTTGTGCAGGAGGGGTACATTATAGGACTGGACTGACTGGAGTACTGAGTTATTTAATCAAGCCAAATGAACAACAAAACAGGTGCATGCCCTTGGGACAATAGACACATTGATTGATACCTACTGAGCTTACTGTCCATGTCAGCCTAAATGATTTTGGTTGGGGCTTCTGGCATTGGATTAAGGGACATGAGACTTCTTGTGGATTTTTTTCACAGTTATAGAAAGGGGTAAGGGAACATTATTGCTTGTTGGAAAAAATAATTGTATGCTACTTATGCTACCCTTCTTGCCACAAAGCCCATAACCATCAGAGTAGAACCAGTCAAGGTCATACAACTAGCAAACATAAGATGGCTGGAGAAAGACACAGAGGACAAAATTGCCACTTGGTTACATCATAGATTAATCATACAGGACAAGACTATGTTTCCAGCTATAATATGCTGGGGACTGCACATGAAGATATCTGATACGGTCACTGCATTCCAGCAATGTCTTGCTTGCTGTCAGCACTACTCACAATGACTGGATGCCACCAAAGGGCATATCAAACAAGGTGCTGTCCCTCTTCAGCAGTGGCAGATAGAGTACATTGGCCCTCTCCCATTATCAGAAGGGACCTGCTATGCATTGACTTGTGTGGACACAGTTACAAGCTCGATGCAAGACTTCCCCAGTAAAAGAGTCAATTCAAAGGCTCTTTATTAAGGGACTGATCCTGCTGAGTTCCATGTATGGCACACCACAGGTAATTGAGTGACCAGGAGACTGTTTCACAGGCCATGACAGATAACAGTGGGCTCAAAACCAAGACATATTGTGGATTTTCCATCTGCCACACTATTTAAAAGGAGCTGGGTTAACTGGAATGAATGGCCTGCTGAAAAAAGTCTTAAGGACTGAGGGCAACTCTGTGCAGGGTGGAATGCTCATCTGCCTGAAGCACTGAGGGCATTAAATGAGAAACCCAGACATCAGCAGCATGCAGACTTTTCTATGTTAACTCACTTATGTCCACTCATGGGCTGGGGCTGAGCTCAGAGGCAGAGCACTTGTCTAGCCTGTGTGAGCACTGGGTTAAATCCATAGCACCATATAAAGTCATGCTGTCCATCTACAACTCTAAAAAAAATCTACTGGACATTTTCTTAAATTGGCTTGGGGGCACAAGTAACAATTTACTGTTGCTGGCACCTGAAAACATATCAGAGACAAGGAGTATTAGTTGATCATGGAAGCCCCTGGTGATTTGCCTTACTGTGATCCCTTGTGGGTCTAAAGTTTACTTGCAAGCCTAAACTTACAAGTAAAGCCCACTGTGTGGGGAACCTAGCCCTCACAAGTACCAGCGATGTCACCCTTGTACATCTGAGGAACACTTTGTATCAGTTTATGGCAGTTACATTTCAGAGTGTCTTATTCTTTCTATGCCCCCAGAGTGCAAACAGATAGCTTGGCATGGTGTACTTGCTTAGGCAGGGCTACTGTGCAAGGTCCTCTACTAACATCAAGATCACACAGTAACCGGTATACTGCCTCATGGAGCTGATTTGCCATTATTGGTGCCCATTAAACATTTGTCATATTCTCCATAGGTTAGCAACAAGTAACCTTTTCCTGGACTGGGCAACAGAAGTTGCACATCATGCCAACCAGAYCCACTGTTGTATCTACTCAGAATTCTGTGTACCTGCAGCAGGAGAACTTCCCTGGGTATGAAATGGACTTGCAATCTTCATTACTTTAACATCCTTGTTGATAGGTTCTTGCTCTTTGTACTGCCCTAGTAAGATATGGATGCAGGGCTCCAGAGCTCTGTCCCAAGGACTTTCCAAAAGACATGGGCAGTACATTTAAGGGCTTCTGAGGCACTGAAGGAGTGGAGTGTTTGGGTAAACACTAGTTAGTACCTAAGAAAGTTTGCTGTTCCAAAAAGTAGTTATGAAGGACTCTCAAGAATGTGATAATGGAAATAGAGAGGGGAAACTGGACACTTGCCTTGTCACCAATCTTTAGACAAGGATCAAAGCAGTGACTTTGGTTGTAAAGTAGAAAAATGTACTCATAAAACATCTAAGGAAATGTTAGATTGTCCACCTGGGCAGTAGATATGCCCCCTATCCTGTACATTTCCCCTGCTTCTAAATGCAATGCAGCCCTCCATTGTAATATCCAAACCCCCTCCATTAAATCCTTTGATTTCTTTCTTTGTGATTAGTAAACAGTATGTTTGTGGCATTTGCAGCCCTGGGGTTAAACAAAGGGTTCCTGGAAACCCCAATTTATTGTTAGTTTGTCAGTTGGTCAGAAACTCTTGTCAAACAACCTAGATATTGCAAATGGCATTGGAAGTGGGGGTCAGTCCCATGGGACTGAATCCTTATCCTGTGGTATGTGCCACCACATCCAGGTAGATAGAGTTATAATTGAATTAATGGACACCCAGCCAATGTCACCCAGAGAGCTGGTTGTTGGTGAGGGGGCATTTCAACACATACACACACTTCTTGGTGATCAGAGGTCATAGAACTCTTCTGTGTTGATTGTGGAGTAAGAGGATGGGAGAAACTGTGTTTTTGTCCTATATTCTCAGACCCCAACCCACTTTTGGTTAATTAACACCAGGGGCTTATTGAGAGCCAGGCAGCAGGAGATCTACACAGCAAAGCTATACCTTTGCAGTACATGAGGAGAGGGTGTTTCTGCCTTTTCCCTTTTTTGGGTTAGGAGGGCTTGTGAGTGTGTGTTGCTGCTAATGGGATCCAGGATCTTCCACATACTGGGCAAGTGCTCTACCACTGAGCCACATTCCCATCCCTTTTTGTTTTAGTTGAGACAGGAACTCACTAATTCTGCCTAGGCCAGCAGAATTTGTGATCCTCCAGCCTCAGCCTCTGCAGTATCTGTGTTTATAGGCATGCACAATGGCTCCAGGCAATGATTAGGATTTTGTTTATTTCCCATTTGTGAGCAGCCATAGATTAGTAACATGCGCTGCTTACTCCCACTGATGTGAGTAACAGTTGTGATAGTAGGAGCAAATGTGACTCCATTTTGTTTTATGACTTCATCCTGTAAAACAACCATGCCAAGTAGAAGAGCCATGACTGGGGCAAGATGTTCTTTTCCTTTTGCTATAGGAACCTTTAAGAACACAAAACTACCTAATGGGGTATTGTTTCTGTAACTAGGGTAATGGGGCTCTGTTTCTGTAACTGGGGTGACTGGGCTAACTGTGATTGGCTAGGTTTCCCTCTGCTTGACTGCACTGTCCGGCTTCTGTCACCTGGCTTGCTTGCATTGTCTAGACCCCCCCCCCAACATCCCTTTTGCGGTTTTCAGGCTTATAAGGAGTGCCCTTGCAATTGTTCGGGTCTGATCAGGGGAACAACTTTATGTTCTGGTCAGCCGCCACCGGTATGCTTCAATAAAGGCTTGATTCAATTATATGTGAGTGGTCTGGAAGTCAGTTTATGAAACCCTAGGATGAAGCTTTTAACTCTAACACAGTCAACACTTGTATTCCTAGATCAAGTTCTTCCCTGTTATGACATTCTTTTCTACCTTAAATACAAACCTGCTCACAAACGCTTTCCCAGACCACCTGGGATCCCACCCTAATTTGTTTAGTGTCTTGCTCTGGGATCCCCTTTTTGGTCTCAACACTTTGACCAAGTCCTTGCCCTTGTGATCAGATGAAGTCTGGGTCCTATGACAATGCCTCACTGATGCTTTCTCCGGTGTTTAGATTGCACCAGGAAAGATCTTCTCTCCTATTGTGTTCAACCCTTTAATTCTACTGTCCAATGCAGAAGCATCTTCCCTTCTTTGGCATAATAGATCAATACTTCCCACAACAGCAAAGACGGCTTCACAAATATGATCCTGATCAATCCATTAATCCCACCTGCCTGGGGCATCTGAAGCATCCAGGTGTTAACAGATCTGGAAGAATAAGAGCCCAATCAGCATCCTGAACACTTTCTTTTCAATTAAGGCAAAAGGGGAGGTGTCTTTGGGATGGAAAGCTGTTATGCTATTAACTATGCCTAGATTTAAGGTTGATTTAAAACAGATAAAGGCTTCATTTTGAAACTGCCTGGGGTGGGGGGTGTGCTGGGGTTGTGACTCAGCCATAGAGCRCTTACCTAGCACTTGCTAAGGGTTCGTTCGACCCTTAGCACCACATTAAAATAAATAAAAATAAAAGTATTGTGTCCAACATATATATATGAATATATATGATATATACATACATACATATATACATTGCCTGGGACCCTCTTCTTCTTTCCAAGACCTCCTGCTGCTCTGCTCTTGCAGAGCAAGAAGCAAATCAGGGAAGACCGATTCCACAGGCTTCTTCTAATTCGTTACTTTATCTTAATTAAGGACATCTGTCTGTCACCTCAGCGTTTTCCTACCCCTTGTGTGGGGAGCTAGGCACTGCACGAAAGCAGTGAGGGTGGAACGCTGGGCACCAGCAGGAGAGAGGAGGGGCGGGACGTTGGGCGAGGCCACGAGGGGCGTGGCCACAGGCGCGCCTTGGGCGGAGCCTGGGAAATTCCCCGGCAGAGGCGGGGAGCTGGCGCTGTGGTCAGCTGAGCGGCGCCAGGCGGGTCGCGAGGCTGATCTTAAGCCCCCGGGCCCCGCCGCTCCGGTCCCCGCCCTCGGCCGGTCTCCCAGACGGCGTCCACATCCGGGCCGGGAGCTCTCCTCCAGGGGCACGATGCCTAGGGGTCAGTGACATCGAGAGAAGCCGATCGCCGGCGGCCGGTGAGCTGGGGTTGGGAGCGACAGGGACTGGGCGGGGGTGGGGGGGGGGTGGCTCCTTCCTTGGGGAGTGCTTCTCGCCCTGGAAGCAGTTCCCCCCTCTCGGCTTCTGCGGCCTGAGCTTGCCAGGTGAGGATGACGAGGGTTGGGGCGGCCATGGGGCATACCTCCCGTGGGACAACTGCCTTGGGAGGGTTTTCAGGCCTCGGATCATGACCTGCTGTGAAAGGGCGACCGGTGCRGCCACCCCAGAGGGTCCCTGAGCCCCGGAATAGTAAAAACAGTGGCTTGGTTAGCTGCAGGTGACTTCCTCTGCAAGTCAAGGAGGTGTTTTGAGGGTAATGTCCTCTTGTAGGAGGAAGTGGTTAAAGGTGCACTCTTGGAAGACATGAAAACACTATCAACGAGGTGTTCCAGGAACAGTAAAGAGTAGTGACCCCTCTCCAAGGTGGTGGGCTCTCCGAGGTGGTCAGCTCAGAGGAGTCAACGTAAACCGTTGTGTCTAGGAAGGTGTGTGATCTCTCTCTCTGAAATCTACATATATATGTAGATTTTACTTTATGTAGCTATACAGATAGATATACAGCAGAGGGAGAGAGGATGAATATTTGATGAGCTGACAATCTCAAAGGAATTGCTTTTAAAGGCAGAAATGTGTAAGATGAGGCAATAAACAGGCTCAGAAGAAATGAAACCTAGCTTCTGGCCAGGCCTTGCTACCAAGAGTACTGTTTATGGAAATGTGTGCCACAGAGGTGTTTAAGGATGAAATGGACAATTAAAGCCTTAGGGAAAGACTTACACAGAAGACAGTGTCAGGATGCCCAGAGGCTTAAGAATTGACTAGCAGAGCAGCACTGTAACAAGAGCAGCCAGCCACCTGGCTCTTTTAACCTAGGGAAAGAAGAGGTGGGGAGCCAAGGCTGCCTCCCAGGACCGGCCTATTTGTATTATACTAGAGAAGACCCAGAGCAGAAGCCAAGGCCAGGGACTGCCCTGGAATGGACAAGACAAGTGCAGTTTGAGTGTGGTTTGTAGTGGACAAGGACTGATTTGAGTCTGAAGGGTATTTGATCTGTTTTTTCACTGAATCTGTTTTAGGAGTTCTTTATATAGTGTGTACAACACTATAAAAGTAACACCGTCTTTGTTTTATAACAAAACTTTAACCTGCATATTATGATACAGAATTGAGGTTTCCCTCCAAATAAACTTGAAAGGAATTTATCAGTGTATTACTTTCTTTCTGATTCTCAAATAGTAGCACGTAGGTGTTCTCACCATGAAAAATACCCAGTGATCCTCAAACCTGCTTATCTGAATTTTATAGAGTTGGCCTATTTAATAAATTCTTTAGAATTTATAGACTGGTAAACAAAAAGCAAAGGGAAAAAATTAAAATCTTAAAAATAAAATCCATTTTAAAAGTTTTCATTGTTTCCACTTCAACATGAGTATTGCAATGGAGCATGAGAATATGTTATGAGATAGTATTTTGATGCCTTTGCAGTGATATAAAAAGCAATTTTGATTTTTAAAATTGGTTTTAAGGTTGATTTAAAAAAAATCTGGAAATGAATGCCATAGAACTCTAGGAAAAAATACCAGCATGTGAGGTTTGTCATTTATACAGCAGAAAACACTTTACAGGTATTAGACTTAAAAATACTTCATTATGCTGTATTTTCTTTTCATTTCAGCAAACATTGTTTGGAAGCCTGCTGTATGCAGTCTTTAGTAAGAATAACACAGAGAGAAAATAGATGGGCATAAGATGACAACAGTAAGTTTGGGGAAGGAAGGCCAAGGAAGTAGAGACACAAATTGCTCTTGGGTGCTTAAGAGAAGAAAGAGTTCATTTGATACAGGACATCATATTTGAGATGGAGTCAGAGATCTAAGGCAAATGACAAAAGAGAGACAAGGGTGCAAAGGCTAAGAACACAGAGAATTGTGAGCCTTTCTGTGTACTTGAGGATAAGTAGTTTGGTGACAGATGACACCGTGGATAGGTATGTTGAGCCTGGACCTGAAAGGCCATATTTGTCTTGCCAGAATTCTGTCTAATAAGAATAGTTGTACTCAGGTAATGACCTCATGTTATAGAAGAGACAATGGAACTGAAATGGAAAGAGATAAAAGTCAGACCATTTAAAGGCAGCTATTAAAATCCATTCAATAAGGATATATTGAACCTTTCATTATATGTTTTACGTAATGTCCTCAGGGCTGGGGGTACAGCAGTAGACAAAAAGTAAACAAAACAAATAAAAAATCCTGTTCTCAATGGTGGTCAGAATTTCCAAAGTCCAGGCAAACTAAGAAGGGCCTGAGCTAAGCTTATGGGGATGGAGAGGAGGTTGAGAAGCATTTAGTGGGTGGGAGAGACTACTATTTGAGGATCCATTATACTTGACAGAGAGGGAATTCAAAGTATCAAGCATCACTCCCAGGTTCCTATCTTGGTGACTAGGTTAAAGCTGTTTCTGTTTTCTGTGTAATAGGAAGATACTATATCAAACTAGAATTTCTAGTATATAATGGTAAGCCTTCTTTTATAAATACTCGTAAGTTCTTTTTCCAGTGTGGTGATGGGTTTAGCTGATGCAACCTTGGAATCTTAGCCCCTCTGTGAATACATACTGGTAGAGCCAACTATACTTCCAAGAGCCAACCATTATCTCTGATCAAGAAACAAGTTTTCACTTTAAGACTAATTTATCCCAGGCTCAGGAGACTGAGGCAGGAGGATTAGGCAGCTATTGGTTCAGAGCCAGCCTCAGCAATTTATCGAAGCCCTAAGCAACTTAGTGAGACCCTGTCTCAAAATAAAATATAAAAAAGGACTGGAGATGTAGCTCAGTGGTTAAGCACCCCAGGGTTCAATCACTGGTACCAAAAACAAACAAACACAACAACAACAAAAAAATGTGATTTATCCATGTAGGAATTGAACCCATGAATACTTCAGTAGCAAATTTGAAGGCACAACTGCATCAGGGTAAGGGCCTAAGCTTATTTTGTGTCTAATGTCTAGTGGGTAGAAGCCAGTGTAAAGTAAATTCTACTTAACACATTACAATTTTCTGGCCATCAGCCATCCTGTAATAGAAGAGACAGTGCCCACAACTTGAATTATTGCTCATGTTTTCTGTCATTGAAATATTCAAACCTGTTTTGTGAGCATGCATTGTGGAAACTAGACAAGACATTCTTGCTTTGAATAAGAAGTTGGACTAAATTATCTCTAAGGCCAACTCAGGAATGAGTTATGTCCATGTCTCCAAGGTCAAGTCATTTCTATAATTACTTGATATTCTGGAATTAAAAATAAGAATATGATGTTAGGAATTCAGGTAGCAGATCTAAGAATAAAATCTAGATTTTTGCTTTTGACCTTCTACCTACCGGGTAGTTCTCAGTCTTCCTTACTGGTGAAATCTTGACAAATTCTGTGCTCAATCCTTCCATTATTAAATATCACTTTTTCTGAGAACTGACACACTTCAGATTGAGGTCATTTAGATTATTATGAGAAAATCTGTTATTAGATAGACTCTTGGACTAAATGACATTGTTCCAATTTCTGTAATCTCTGAATATATGTACAAAGATTTATAATATACCTCTGTGTTTGCCCACTTGAAGGTTTCTCAAGGTGATGTTAAAACTTAATTTTAAGTTTTCCCTAACTGGCATTTCTACCAATAGATATTTCACATGTGCACTCTACAGTGATCACTCATAATAATTCCTCCAGAACATTCTAAAATCATAAAGTGCCCTTTGAGTCATCCAAAATTATTTTATATTAAATTACTGTTAGTAAAATTTTGATAGAATCTATATGCTATGGTTATCGTGCATCCTAACTTCTTATCTACTATAACATTTGAATTAAAAACTAATTTTTCCTAACAATATTGGATAAAAATAGTTTGCTGTAACTAGGACAGGTATATGAATTGGTGAGAGACATGCTCATGAGGGTGTGTCTATGTTGAAGGGTAAAGTAGGACTATAATCTTAGAAACCAAAGAATACCTTTCACAGGGTTGCTGAGCTGAGAGCAACAATGAAGCATATCATCTGCTAAACCAGTCAGTGAGTTATCACAACAGGTCAGGTGACTTCCCAAGGCCACACATTTGGCTAGTGGTATAAGTGCTTTTCTACTGCCTCTTTTAGCACAACCCAGCTTTTTACAATATCCTTATAAAACCTGGACARTCTGAAAAAGCTGGAAGCACTGATATAACAACTAGAACTGGTTTTACCTTTATTATGGTTTATCTGTAGACTTGGTAAAGGTGTCAAGGAAGGTCAAGGAGGAAAACATCTGAATACTTTTCAAGGGAACATCCCTTTCCCTTCCCTTCCCCTTTTCCTTTCCCTTTCTATTCCTTCTCCCTTGGAAAAACAATTAAGGGAAAATTTGTTCATATGAAAAGACAAAACTGAGAACATCTCTAGATAAGTGTTTAGATATTTTAAAAAATATTTTGGGCTGCAGGTGTAGCTCAGTAGTAAAGCACTTGCCTAGCATGCACAAGGCCTTGGAGTTGATCCCTAGTACTAAGAGAAAAAAAAAAATGTGTGTGTGTGTGTCTGTGTGTGAGAGAGAGAGAGAGAGAGAGAGAGAGAGAGAGAGATGCACCCTTGCAAACTATAATGTAATTGAGGAATACCTAAGGAATTTTATATTGGCTGATGAATTACACATTTAGGCCTATTACCTGGAAGTTTATTATTCCTCTGCAAAATAGGTATGAACACTGTTATCAGAAAACCCCATTTAAAAAAAAGGAAAAACCTCATTTTAATGAAATGTTGACACCAAGATCATTCTGTACAGAAATAAATTCATGGAAAGTCATAGACATTGGCAGTTTCTTTTCTTCCTTCCTTCCTTCCTTCCTTCCTTCCTTCCTTCCTTCCTTCCTTCCTTCCTTCCCTTCCTTCCCTTCCTTCCCTTCCTTCCCTT